GTGGTCTCAAGCTGGATTATTTCTGGCAGTTTGTTCAGGCCCTTAGTTTGAAATGTGTCTGAGAAAGTAGACTTAAATCTATGAAAGCTTATGCTGTCAGCTTCTTACTTTCAGTTAGTCTCAAAGGTGCTACAAGATCTCTCTCCACAGCCTAACAGGACTATATCTTTGAATTCTAGTTCAAAACATGGGAGCTAGGTTGACTACTGGGCCATGGAGAAGTGATCGCACTACACCAGTATTAAAATCACTCCACTGGCTGCCAGGTAATTTTCCAGGCAAGGTACAAAAGAGTGTTGGTTTTTTAAAACCTTTAAAGGCCTACATGGTTTGGGTCCAGGTTACCTACAGAATCACCTTCTCCCATATAATCTGCCCTGTAGACTCAGGTCCTTTGGGGGACATTTACTCCAGTCAGCCAGGGCAAGGTTAACAACTGTTATTAGCCAGAGGACTTTCTCTTCAGTCTCCACTAGACCTTCTGGAAGAGACTGGAGGGCTGAATCCACTGTTTGAATTTAAAAGGGAATTAAAGGCCAGTCTCTTCTGACAGGCTTATCCAGATGCTTTTTAAATTGTGACTTTTAAATGATAAATCTTAAACGTGCATCGTTTTAATATGTGAATATGTTATTTGTCATTTTAAATAGATGTGTATTTTAACTGATGTTGTTTATCTGTTCGTTGTTGTTGCTGTTGTTGCTGTTCCCCGCCTCTATCCATGGGGAGAGGTGGGTAAGAAAATACTATTAGCATTAGTATTAGTATTATTAGGTAAGCCACCGGTGGTGTCAGGATTAGTTGGCCAAGACAAGCGTCTGCGCTGTTCGGAGACAGATGCCTGCTGTGGAGGGTTGTGTGTGTGTGTGTGTGTGTGTGTGTGTGTGAAAGAGAGAGAGAGAGAAGCAATGGCACAGATCTCTGGCTCAAGATCCCCCTAGCAAAACAGCTGGAATTCCCATCGCAGCCAGTTCAAGGACCCAAGCCTGGAAAGCAAATCTCACCACAAAAGGAGGCCAGCCTTTTGAAGTCCCATGTGTCTGTTTGTTTCTGTGTGTGTGTGTGTGTGTGTGTGTGTGTGTGTGTGTGTGTGTGTAGGGCCTGGAGGAAAAGAGAAGGAAGAGGAAGAGGCATTAGGCCAAGCCCCTTCAGGGAAGTCTTCACTTTCGCCAATGTAACCCTGTTTCTGTGCCTTCAAGTTGCCTGTATGTATTTGAGAGATGGATCAATTGCACTATTCCTATACAGTACACAATGTGCCTTCAAGTCGCCTGTCCACTTGTGGCAACCTCATGAATTTCGTAGCATTTTCATAGGCAAGGAATAGTCAGAGGAGGTTTTGTCAGTTCCTTCCTATGAAATACAGCCTGCAGCACCTGGTATTCGCTGGTGGTCTCCCATCCATGTACTAACCAGGGCTGATTCTGCTGAGCTTCCAAGGTCAGACGGAATCTGGTATGAACCCTCGTTCCACCATCTCTGGCAGAGGTCTTGTCTAATATTATTGCCATCATAATATTATTTACTCGAGAGCAAGAGGAACTTGCTTTTAAGCAAACGCAGATACACAGATGGTCCAAGCACTTTTTCCCCTTCCTTCCAATAATTCTTTTGTTTAAAAAACTGGAACTGGTTTGGTTCATCTAAGAGAAATAGCAGACGAGGTTATGTTTGGACATATCTGGAGAACACGTGGCTCAGTGGAAACGGCCATGCTGGGAAATGAGGAACACCATAAACTAGGGCTACCAGATTAAAAACTGGACAGGGCTCCTGTACCCTTTAATAGTTGTGTAGAAGAGGGAATTTCAGTAATTGTCACTTGTTACGCAAACAGGTAACAACAACACTAGCTGAAATTCCTTCTTCTACACAGCTAGACAGTGATTCAAAGGAAGGAAGTGGCAAAGCTAGTGTGGTGTAGTAGTTTGAGTATTGGACACTCGAAGACCAGGGTTCTAATCCTTCTGAACCGTGGAAACCTATTGGACAAGTCACACACTCTCAGCCTGAGAGGAAGGCAAGTGAAAAAACCCTCTGAATAAAATCTACTAAGAAAACCTTGTGACAGATTCGCCTTATGGTCGTCATAAACCAGAAATTACTTGAAGGCACACAACAACAACAACAACTCTAGCTACTACAAAGGTGGAGTTCAGAGACATAGCCATGTTTGTCTCAGTATACAAAGGCATCTTGTAGCGCCTTTGAGACTCATTGTGCGGGGGGAAAACTTGTAATATTGATCTACTTCCTCAGATCCCACAAAGGTGGGTCGATTCAAGGTAACCACAGCCCTCAGCTTGCAAGCCCCTGGCGAGGCTGATAGTTAAGGTGCCTTGAAGGGCTTTCTCATCCATACGGTCGCCATAAATGGAAACCAACTTGGAGACAATGAGCAACAAATAATACATTTGAGAAGAAATATATGGTTGTCACCGGCCTTTTAAGTAGCCTTCTTTTTCTCCTGGCAGTTCTGTCTGGAAAAGCCTCAGGCCAGCCTCGTGGTCTCAGGAAAAGGTAGCCCTGTGGTCTCCCATACCTGTATGTGACCTCTTAAGATGCATGCTTAACCCTCTCCCTTTGAAACCAGTGTGTCATTCAAGTTGCAAGCTCTCCAAGGAGCAAGACCAAGGAATTACTGTAAGTGGGACCTCCTTCCCACTATGCATTATGAGGAACAGTGGTCAGTTGCCCTTAGGTTGTAATGTTTCTAAAGAAGTCCTCTTTTTATAATGCACTCCTATATGTCTACTCAGAAGTAAGACCCACAAGTAAGTGTGTATTAGATTCCAGCTCTTTCTTTTTTGTTTTTCTTTTTTGTTTTTTGTTTTGTTTTGTTTTGTTTTTTGCAAAGGGGAAAAAAAGATTAAAACATATGTACTTGGGATGGTTTATTCAGAATTCTCGATTTCATTTTCATTTTATTTTAAACAGGAAGGATTTTATATAATGACTCTTGAAATAAAGTAAATCAGTGCTGAGAAGAGACGAAGCTCTTCATGTATGCCTGTAACTCCCTAACAAGGCAATCCTGACTTCAGTGAGTCTTATCTAAAGGTGTGCAGGATGAAATTGCCATCCAAAGCCAGAAGGAGTGAGATCAGGGTTCGAATTCCGGCTGCGCCATGTAAACCCACTGGGCGATCTTGAGCAAGTCACACTCTCTCAGCCTCAGAGGATGGCAATGGCAAACCCCCTCTGAAGAAACTTGCCACGAAAACCCCATGATAGGTTCGTCTTAGGGTCACCATACGTCTGAAATGACTTGAAGGCACACAACAACAAAACATTCATAAGCTGGCAGTCGGAACCTATGCATGCCTACTCACGAGTAAGATCAATTGAACGCAGTGGGGCTTACTCTTAGATAAACGTGTATATCATTCAAACCTTAAGAGACCAGAAATGAAGCAGATGACACACCTGTCATTGGGACTGAAATTCTGTATTTATGCTACTTTTTTAAAAAGTATTCGCATGTAATAAAGTAGTAGACACTGGGAATTGCTTGCAAGTAGGTTTGCTTTTCCAAGAATGCTGTCACCATGAGACTAAATGTGCAATCCTATGCATGTCCACCGTAAGGTGTTTAAGTGTGCAATCCTATGCATGACGTAAGGTGTTTAAGAGTGGTGTAGTGTGGTGTAGTTGTTAGAGTGTTGGACTTGGATTTGAGATGTCCTCGCTCAAGTCCTCCACTCAGTCACAAACTCACTGAGTGACCTTGGCCCGGTTTCACACAGACATCCAGGCTTACCTCACAGGGTTGTTGTGAGAAAGTGCTGAGCCCAGCAGGAGGAGTATCATGGTAATGTATGGATGGGGAGTCCCACACTTAGGCTTTCTGATTGAGAAGTTACACTAGAATGGGCTGGGTGAGTCACAGTCTTTTTGAGTTGCACGATGTTCTCTTCCCTAAATGCGCTTACAGAAGTTCATCCTTAAGGAGACATCATTATCAATAGTTCCTTGTCCTCGCAAGTATTCTTGCTTAGCATTTTGCTCATCTCGAGATATATTGTTCAACCCTCAACCCCATTCCCTCACATACCTAACAAAACCCCCAAATAGCAGCGTGACATAGTGGTTTGAGCATTGGACTATAACTCTGGAGATCAGGGCTCGATTCCCAGCTCGGCTATGAAACCCACTGGGTAGCCTTGGGCAAGTCACATGCTCTCAGCTTCAGGGGAAGGCAATGGCAAACTTCCTCCGAACAAATCTTGCCAAGAAAACCCCATGATAGGGTGGCCATAAGTCGGCAACGACCTGAAGGCAAACGACAAAAACAAAAAGGGCTTAAAAGTTCAATTAAGAGGGAAAACTAGGCCTATGTGGTATTGCTGGCATCCCTTCGGCTGCCAGATATTAATACTCTCAGGAGCAGCTTCCCTGTCAGTGGGGTGGGTGGATCCGTCCCGGGTTTTAGTCCGAACTCTAAAAGGATCTATCCAAGGTGCTGAGCCTGTTGGGGAGTAGAGCTCAGCTGCTTGGATAGTTCTTTTAAAGGTCAGGTTAAAACGCAAAATGGATTCCTCGCCCCAGTGACCTGGAATCTAATTGTTTCCAGTGAAGCCTTCCGATCTGATAGTGCCTGCTGAAGACCCTGGGTTCTGCATTAAATGCACTTTCTGCATTGAGAACCACACAGGAGCACCGCTGTTTAAAATGCTGGCTGGAGCACTTTTACTCTCCAATCAACGGGAGAGATCTCACCAGGGCGGTGTTTGAGCCTTGGAATAGGACTCTCAGAGACCCAGGATCGAATCCCCTCTCAGTCTTAGGGCCGCCATAAGCCAGAAATCACTGAATGATTCAAAACAGCAACTACTACCATGAAATAAGGGAAACACTCCTTTTGTCTTGCCTGCACAGTAAGGTCAAGAATCGCAATAGCGAAATGTCTACAGTTGCGCAAAGCTTGCTTTCTCTCTGTTTCAAAATGTGCTAATTTGTTTTCTCAACTGCAACCAACAACTACGTGAAAGTCTGCAACAGACAGAAAAGTGTGTGTGTGTGTATTTAGGGGGTAAACGTTATTACCTTTTGTATAGGAAAATGTACAGGAACATCCCGGCTCTGCTGTGTAAACCCACTGGGTGACCTTGGGCAAGTCACACTCTCTCAGCCTCAGAAGATGGCAATGACAAACCCCCTTCTAAATAAATCTTGCCAAGAAACCCCTATGACAGGTTCGCCATTGTGTGGCCATAAGTTGGAAATGACTTGAAGGCACACAACAACAACAACAACAACAACAGGAGCAAAATCAGAATCGACAAGAGATGTTTCTCTGCCTTTTAATTGTGAAAGAGTTCATTCAAAGCACAGTGTGACCGAAATTCCGTTGGAAACAGTCTAGCCTTTCTTGAAAGCTGGTACAAATTTAAAACAAGATCCAGCTAATGTTAACCAGTAGTAAAGATGAGATCCTCAGCTCATCCTTTATGTAGCATAAACTGCACGGAACACAATAGGACCTCCTTCTAAATAAACATGCGTAAGATTGCAAAAGCCTCAATTTTTTCCCAATGGAAGAAATAATGGAGTCCTGTAACTAATGGAGTCCATACAATCCAAGCCTGAAAGGTGAGAAATTCCACATCCTGAAAATCAGGGGAACCTTTCCACCCAAAAGTATACTTGAACCTTTAAAAATGTGATACATTAGCGGTTAACTTGCTTGCAATGAAATGAGTACTCTCACTAGGTTGTCAGTTCTCTATGGACTTAGCCATACTTCGAGCAGACCCGTTAAAATCAATGGAACTTAAGTGGGTCACCGAAGCTGGAAACGTTACCTGGCGGACTACAACTCCCAAAATCCCCCACCCATCGTTTCTGGAAATTGCAGTCCCAAAAGTAACGCCTCCAGGAGCAAGTGGGTCATGACAAATGCCTGTCCTTGATTTCAATGGCTTGTTTGAGTCTGGATCCCACACTGGGGAAAAAAGCGGGATATATCTTAAATAAACTAGAAAATGAATAAACCATTCGGTTTATGGTAATAGTTGCGACATAAACAATTAAAAGTATACTTTTAAATTACAATTTCATAGGCACTGCCTAAATGTATTTACATAGGCATAGCTTCATGTGCTTCAAGAGGAAATTTAGTAAAATGTTTTTTAAAGAAAAATAAAATATTTTTTAATAAAAAAAATTGAAATTTGAATTGAAACAACGACAACGACAACAACAACCTGGGGCCTCTCCTTTTTTCTCCAACTAAACCTCACTCCATCTCTGCAGTATTTAATGGGACACAGGCGGATGCCAGAGCCTGTTTCTGCCCAAAGGCAGATGTTTGAGGCATAGAAGGCAGATGTTTGAGGCATAGTAGTGTCACCCATCTGAAGGGTGTCACCTGGTGCGCTTGGCACCCCCAGCACTACCTTAAGTGATGTCACTGGCTGTTTGGCTTTAAAATAAAAGGAAAGCGGGAGAAAAGGCTACACAATGAAAAGCAACAACTGATCTTCATAACTTCATCAACACAATGCCAGGATGTGATGGAAGGAGAGATGAATGGCGTCCCCTCCAGAATTGAATTTCTGGGATGGGACAGAGGGGAGACGAACCCAGGAAGGGGGCACTGAGGGCGTCTCTGGGCGCGGAGCGAGTTTGCCTTCTGTATGTGGCTTCTGAAAAGGCGAAGGATGCTTTAAAAAGAAAAAAAAAAGCCATCCATCATATTCACTAAAGTTGCCCGATTTCCAAAGTTGAGCTTTTGGAGGGGGACTTCAAAGGCAGAGAAGCTCAAAGATAGACTCCCAAAGAGTTTCTGACTTCTTGTGGGGAAAGGGGGGGGGGGGG